GCCATGTGAGAGTGGAGAGGAGGAGATCATGGAGACACTTGTTGCTGCTGACTCCCTCCTCAACATGGACTGTGCTGACACCCTCTCCCTGGAACAGCACTACGGTAAGCCCATGCACACGTCAGCTTCAGCTCCACTCAAACTCCCTTTCGAGTGGAGCTTGGCGACCCAGCGGCCCCCCCAGCTCTCCGGCGCGCGGCCGGCTCGGCTGTGGGCCGTTATTTTTAGACCGCGACGCTCACAGGGCTGTTCTCTTTTATTAAATCTGTTTGTGTCCCCTCGCAGCTCAGGCCTTCCTACCATCTCTGGGTGACGTCATCACCACTCCGGTCACCCAGGTTACCGTGTCGGCCGAGGGCGTTGTGGGAGCTGTTGACCAGCCACAATGGCACCCGCTGCACTCAGAGAAGCCGGCGGCTCGTCTGCAGTCCAAAAAGAGAGGTCAGTTTCTCTATTTAGTACTTTTGCACACCAGGAATTGCACTACTTTGGTGCCATAAGTGGAAAAAGTGCATCTATACATCCATCCCTCTGTGTATGCAGGAAGAAAACCTCGACATCGGAGGGCAGAATCTCCCACACCAAATATTACTGTAAAGAAAGACAAATACAACAAAGGTATGGCCAGACAGAACCAGCTCCTGTCTGGACTGTGTCCTGTGCACAGAGCTATCCGGAGTAGCTGCATTTTCTTCCACTTTAATCTTAGTTAGGTAGATTTTTTTTTTTTTATGTTAGAACAATTTTAAAGTGGGAAAAGAAAGCGATTGCTCAAAAAGATCAATTTCATCTGCACTATAAAGTCTTTTTGCAGAGGCAGCTGAGGTTTACATACAGAAACCTATTTAAGTCACAGGTATAAAATGTACTTAAGGTATTAAATACTTTAAGTTTTAAAGATTCCTATCTTTTGGTTGAGGTAATTCATTCCATTTAAATTTGGAGGAGAAGTTTAGAAATGACAGCTTATGCTGCATAACTGCTGTTTCATGGCGCTCCATGCTATCTGGGGAAATGCAAATAACCATATAAAAAGGCTCATTGTCAGTCATCTGAAGCCAGTCTGTCACAGGCATTGTGGACGCTAATATTCAATCTTCTGACTTTAAGCCATATTTCTATTTATATATGCCTGCATTTTTATTTGATTCGACCATAAATCCATTCATACCTACCCGTCATTGTAATCCTTACTACTCCACGCCGGAATTAGTGTGAAGTTCACTTAAAGCTTTTCATGTCTGTGGTGGATTTTATGTCCCAGGAAGTTAGAAAAATTAAGGAGAGAGGAAGCAAACAAACTGCTCCTGACAGTGACAAAAATAGCAACATTGAGTGTAGCTTTGATCTTTAAAATTTATCATCATTAGGAGGCCAAATATTTCCAGGATTTGTCCAGAAATAATTTGCTTGCTTTTTTTCCCAGCCTCTTATATGATGACGAGAGTGGGAAAAAAATGTTTATTGGTTTCATGTAACTTAAAATTCAGTGACTATCAGTTTTGACGTAACTCAAGCCTTAGCCTAAAAAGAGGATTTTACTATTCATGTTATACCCACCAATCACCCCCATACAGATGTACCTTTTATGTTATGTCATAAGCTCAGTAGCAAATGTATCACAGCGGCCATCTTTACTTATCAACTCCACCTTGTTAGCTAAAAAGATGTCTTCATTAAACTGCTGCTGCACCCGTTAGTTCCTGTTGGGTAACGCAGATCAGTACCGTTTCAGTGTGTGCTCACATGCGGCCGTGTGGACTATTGAAAAATTACAACTGCTTGAGGCGATTGCTATTCAAAGTCCATTTTTCTGTTTTTAACTCTCAGAATTTTCTCGATTTTAAAACTTCTGTCAATAGTAGACTGGTAAAAAAGTCTTTGCTGCTGTAATGGGACGTGTGACTTTCATGGGAGACATTCTATTTTCATCTACGTCTGCTATCTTTTTGGACACAGAGACCTTTTCATGCTCACCTGTGTTGTTTTGTTTTTCCCCGTATGTTTTGGCCTCTCATACTGGCCACGCCCCTTTTCCCCCATTTTCTCAGAGAACTTGTCTGATCGCATGCTTGGCTTTCCAGCACAGCCTTCTAAATGTACAGCAGAGGCAGCTGATAACTATCACTGGCATTCTACCATCTTATTTTTATGAAGAAGTGGCATTCGTCTGGTCACAAAAAAAACTGCGATTCCTAAACCCTCTCCCCAAGGAAATTTACAGCTGCAAGTCTGACCTTTAAACTCTGTCTCAAATTCAATTTCTACTTGCATTAGACAGTGTTTGCAGGGAAGAACAAAAAGTGTTATACAATCTGATGTCATCCAGAGCCAACAACTGGGCTCCTGCTCTCAGCGTCCGACCCTCCGTTCCCACTCACTGAACATCTTCCTCACCAAAGTTTTCTTAACTCAGGGGACTTCTTGGCTGTCTGTTCTTTTCTCCATCACGCTTTCATGTGTTTGTGCTCCAGGAGGAAACACACTCTACCTGTGGCAGTTTCTGATGGAGCTGCTGCAGGACAGACAAGTCTGTCCCCGCTACATCAAATGGACGGATCCTCAGGCGGGGATCTTCAAGCTGGTCAACTCCAAAGCCGTGGCCCGGCTCTGGGGCAAACACAAAAACAAACCCGATATGAACTATGAGACCATGGGAAGAGCGCTCAGGTACAGCTGCTTTCAAGTGTGAAGTAGCTCTGTCTTTTGGTCTGTCCTTGTTTTCTCTCTGCTCATACAAACATTTCTGCATTTTTCTGAGGGGCAGATTCACAACATAGAAATTAGTGCCATTTGTTTCAGAGCTGGCGTTTGAAATGTTCTGCCTAGTTAAAAAAAGAGAAAACAAAACAAAGCCTTGCTAGCCTACTTTTGTAGCCTACTTTTGTAGCCAAAACTTTAGCGTCTCCAGAGAAAGCTAACACAAGCACCTGGAAGTTGTTTATAGCGTCTATGCTGATCACACCCTCCTCTGCTGCAGAGGCATTCCAATAGTTTTGAAAAGCGATAGCAAAGCGCTCAAAACCCAGACATTCGCAAATGGCGGTGTGCTTTTTTTGGCCAGTGTGAAAAAGGTGAAGAAGTTAGTGTTGTTAGCAGAGGTGGAGAAGGAGCTTTTTGGTGCATGCTTAACCTTTAAGGTCCTTAACTATCAGGTACATCTTGTCTGCTTTTTTAGGTAGAACATGTAAAACCTTTAGGTCCCGTGATAATTGCTCATTTTGGTCTTGGTAAATGGCACATAACACCTCTATAAGTAGATTGTCTGGACCATTGGCTTGGTGCCAACCGGTAGAACTGAAAGCGGGATTTATATTAAGCCTCAGTGTTCAGAGGGATTTATTTAATCTGGTATCTGAGTTTCTTTAGTTCTGAATCTGATTGAATTCGGTGTTGATTTACTGGTTGACATGGAACCATTGTATTCCCACAGGTACTACTACCAGAGGGGCATACTTAATAAGGTCGAAGGCCAGCGCCTCGTTTACCAGTTCACCTCTCTTCCCCAAGACATGATTTACATCACAGATGGAGAGGGCACCAAAGAGGAAGATGAAGATCACGACAACAGCTGTAACGATGAAGGGGCGAGCGAGGACTCGGACAGCACCATGTCCAGCGGCCAGTCCGACGAGGAGGAGCTGGGCTTCCACCCGCCGCCAAAGAAGAGCTTCGTTTCGTTCCCAGCCGCGCCCGCGGCGAGGACCAAAGCGGCTCCCAGGCCCGCGGCCCCGCGGGACGGCGTGCTGCGGCCCTCCGGCAGCAGCCTGATCCAGGAGCAGCACCTGCCCATCGTGTCGGCCGAGATGCTGCGGACGCTGCAGAACCTGCAGAAGGTCCAGTCCCTCCAGCCCGCCGGGCACGCGTCCGTCTTCCAAACGGCCCAGCTGCTGGGGAGCCTGTGCGAGCGGCAGGCCGCCACCGAGGGCGCCGCAGACAGCCCAAGTGCCGAGGAGAAGCCCCACCCGGGACAGAGACCCCCCCAGCTGGTGCCTCTGGCCAGCCCCAACCAATAGAAAGACACTGCCGTCGACTCCCCCCCCCTATCCCAGAACACGCGCATGCCCAGACACTCCGCTGACTCAGGACCACTTCCAAAGCTGCGCCCTGCCGTGGACTCATCTGAACGCCAGTGATCAGGTTTTGGGTTTCTTTTTCTTTTATACGCAAAACAGAAGGAGTTTCGATCTAGATTGGATTTTACACGTCAAACCCAGTGACGTCTCGGTTTCGGAAGAAATAGTCAGGAACCAAAGCCACCCCTGCAGCTGAGCTCAAAGTAAAGGCAAACTATGAAGACACACACCTTCTGACGTAACCTCTGCCGACCTATGCTCCATGAAATTTACGCCACACCAAAGAAAGACATGCACTGGATTTTACAGCCGCCCGCACCTTCGGCTTGCACTTCGGCTCCTGCGTCACCGGGCCACCGGCCTCGTGACCACGCCTGCCCTCTTCTGCCTTTACGCTCGCGCATTCCCACTTTGTGTTTTATATGCGATCACATGCTGAATCATTCCTTTGCCTTAAAAGCGGCTTTGCACTAGAACCCCCCCCCTTCTCCTGCTGTACCTTTCCTCTCTAAGTGCCTAAAGGTCTCGCTCTCGCCTCTGCTTCCTCTACTCCTGATCATCCTGAGGTTATTGAGGGAAAACATTCCAATTTGTCTGTACAATTATTTTTTAAGATTACTGAATTCTGTTCGTATTGTGAAATGTTGAAAACAAGGGAACACTGTTTGTAGAATAGTAGTTGTGCACTGCTGCTGTTTTAATGTTTGTGTATATTCGCAGAGGGAGTTTCTTTTCTCGACAATCAAGTTTAAAATTGTATCGTGACTATTTAGCCTTCCCACAATGCACACAGTCTGTTCAGTTATTGCACGTGTATTAATTCATGTACAAAAGCCTCAAAAATCTACATGTGTTTATATACTGTATGTGTGAAAGTGTCTGTGCTCTATTGCCATTTTCTCCCTCAGGTTCATGAATTGTTTTGTTTGTTTGTTTTTTTTTGTGCTGCAGAGACTATATACCTTATACAAGGCTCTTAATAATGAAGTAATTAGTTTGGTGTTTACTCCTCCGCTGGTCTTAATCAAGCCCCAGAAACGGAAGGCCAGCCAGGCTGTACGAATGAGGCTGGATTCTGCTGGGCTAAACTCAGTTATGCTCACACAGTGACCGTGCCTTTGGCCCGCAGGGAGCCCCTATGCAAAACTGTTTTCACTTTATTGAAACATTTATCTTAAATTCCCCCGACTTTGCTTAATCGGATTGTCTCTCAATGCTGTTTTACTGCTTCTGGATGAACTTGTAGCCGAGGGAAAGGCCATCTATGCCTTATTTTTTTGTGTGCTTGCTCGCACGCAGCCTACAGATGTCATAAGAAATAAATTAAAACATTTTTCTGTGTGAATTTCATCTTGTTTGTTTTCAACCATGTTGTGTATTTAAAGTGTTTATTATTTCCTTAACAGTTGGGGAAATGTTTTTTTATTTGTGTATTAATACATACATACAGACACACATATATATTTTTTTTTGGGGGGGGTCTTGCAGGGTCTGATGACTGTGGCTGCTTTTGCTTCATTTTCAGATCAGACCTTTTACCTCAATATTTTTTTACAGGATTTTGTTTTTTCCTGTCATTTCGTAAACTGGGAAAAAACATTAAAGCATTAAAAAGGCTCCTAACTCAAAGGATGAACCTGATGCCTCTTCACTTAACAGAAAGCTTTACAGGTAACATTTTTTAGATTGTGTCCTGAGGAACTTTCTTAGTAGCAGCCTGTTATATAGACACGCCATTTGTTTTATTTAGTTGATTCTACTGAAAATCCACGAAAAATTATTTAATTTGAAAAAACTAAATGTATTTCCAAAAATGAAATGACTCCTTGAAGGGCTATTGCTTGACAAAAGTGGAAAGTGTCCTTTAAAAATGAGGAAATTTGAGAAGTGGCAAACAGAAGACAAGGTATACCGAAAAACATGGACTGTAGACTGAAAATGAGTCTGATGGTGAAACTGATCCTCCTGAGAGCCTGAACCTTAACACCGTTGATGCAGTGTGAGATCACCAGAGAACGAACCAAAAGGCACCCAAAGTCCAAAGAACAGCTTTGTCCTTCAAGAATCCTGAAGACTGCTGAGAGACAGAACCATAAGCCTGTATCAGACGGTTCCAGTTGTGCTGAAGCACAGCCCTTAATATTCCAAATGAAAGTCAGAGTCAGGACACTCATCAAAGGAAATAAAGAACCTCCGAGTTATTTTGCTTCATTTTCCTATCTCGTGTTAGAAAATGAAGAAAGGCAGCAGTCTCTCACCCTGAGGAACATTGCCGGAGGGGAACTGTTCCTCTCTCAGTTCAGACGCTGATCTGTGCTTTTATCAGCTGCAGAATTGATCTCTGTAATGATGCTTTGCAGCCACTTTAAGGCTGGGCTGCTTCTCTACATCCAGGAACAGAGAGAGGCTTGTTAATCGAACGCCAGTCTTAAAACCTCTGCGTACTTATGGATCAATTCAAGTTTACTCTATTGTTATGGTTTCTAAGGCTCTTGATGATGTTAGTCCACTACATGTAGTTTATTACCCTCTGCAGCCCTAAGGAATTCAGAGACTCTTCTATTAATTCATAAAGTCAGGACTAAGACTCACAATGAAGCATAATTCATTGTGACAATGCTTCTCATGTGTGGAATAGCCTTCCTGGGAGACTCAGGGCTGTGTAGAATGTTGCTGTATTAAAAGGAAAATTCAAGACAAGTAGAATTTGAATAAAGCATTTAAATCAAATAAACGTATGTAATTTCTCTTTTTCCCCCACTGTTGTTGTATAATTCTTATTTCTGTATTTATCATTTATTTATTTTCTGTCTGTGACAGACATATTATACCCTGACACTCCTTAGACTCCAGTCAAGTCTATGAAATTCATTTATTAATATATTTTCACTATATTACCTATTGATTTGTTCCTTTGTTTTTCCTATTATGATATTTATGGGGTCTCGGAACAACTTGTCACTAAATGTAAAATACTAATTTCGGATTTCAGCCTAACACGCCCAGTTTTAATCGGCGAGTCGAGACTTTCTCTCTGGAAAGTTCTCGTGAGACATTGAGTCCTCCAGGCCGTTGAGAGGAGGGGCGGCACTGTTGTAGGGCGAGTACCCGGATGTTGACAGTCCGCTAGGGGCTAGGACCTATCGCTATCACGTTTTAGCCACTCCACGTCTAGAACTTTCCTGTCACCCCAGAAACACAGTCTACATCCACAGCAAACCCATGGCAGCCGAAAGGCAAGTTGAATAAAACTCGTTAACTGACTTCTGTTTGATTTTTTTCATGCTCTTTTCCATTCAGCTTGTTTACGGTTGGTCTCTCGTTTTCACTCTAGCAGCTTCTCCGATAGCTTCATTGACGAAGATCCACAGAAAGCTTTGGAGGTAAACGTTAACTTTCGTAGCCACAAATCATACACCGTAGCCGGTGACTTTGCCGGACATTCAATTAAAGCTAAAAATATTTAACAAGTTGTTCTAAATTCTGGAAAAGATTCGTTGATATGTTCTAATGTTAACTCTGATTTAAGCTAGCAAAGTTAGCTGTTTCCTGCTAGCAGCAGTTATCAGGCTGACTTGTTACATATTTATGCTGTTATTTTTACGCGTTAAGCGAAGCCTTTTTTGCCTAATTTTTGCCATTGTTAATGTGCTTTTTAAATGTTCGTGATGTTACCACAAATACAGACAACTAACAGTCGATTGTAGGAACTCAGGTAGAATGGCAAACGTGCAGTATGAAGTTAATCACAGTTGCTTTAGTGAAAAATTAGTGTATTAATATTTAGTTCATTGTGTGGTGTTTTGTTTATAGAAGTCGTTTGAGCTTACTGAGCTATTTAGCTTGAACAATAAGCACAATGTGGCAAAAATACCGGGTGTATGATGCAAATTATTGAACACCAGGAAAGGCTCAGCCTTACTATCTCCAGCGTTAGCCCCCATCTAGTTCCGGTTTTGGACCACAGAACTGTTTTCTACAATGTCTTTTCTCTTTTAGGAACTCAGTGAGGCCCTGCAAAGAGATTCTGACAATGCTGACTGGTTGTGTCAGCGTGCCTATGCTTACATACTCCTCAATAAATACGACTGTAAGTTCACATTGTATTCTACCTGATTCCAGGAAGTGGATGTGATTGCTTTTTTAGTGCTTTTACCAATTATTTTTTTAATGATTAATGTGACTGGTTCATTTCAAGTAAAGTGCTTACAAGGAAGCACTTTACTTAGTTCGTTCGACACACTGTGCAGAAAAATATAGTGTGCTCTGAGTGATAATTAAATGTAAATAAAATGTCAAATTAAGCTTTTAGGAGCATTTATTTCCAAAATAATGCAGCTTGGGTGTATGCACAGTATGTGTACTTAATGTCTTCCATATATAGATATATATTTATATGACAGTATATTTATTTATCTATTTAATACAGGTGCTGCTGATGACGCCAAGAAAGCCCAACAGCTGAAACCAAGCCTTCCTCTAACTTTCCTGCGTTCTGGGTAAGTTCTGTGTGTTATTGAAGACATTTTGCCCTTCTTTGACTGCTGATTGATGTGTGAACGACTATATGCTGACATTAATACAATGCTAGATAGATACTACTACACCTCATTTTATAGAATAACCAATGGTGTTAGAGTCAACCATTTTTCCTTTTTTTTTCCACAGTTGTATTTAAATTTGAAGAGTTTTTCCAGCAAATGAAAAACTTAAGCTGCTCTTGTGTTTGTCTGCTTGACACGAAGTTTTAAGGCTTTTTAAAAAATGTATTTATTTCTTTGCGGCATTCAGGCTATAGTTAATAACTACCCCAATGTTGCCCTGGTACAGTCACACTGTCCTAAGAAAAACATGCATAAAGAGGAATATTTTCACCTCTTTACTCCTTTAACCCGCTCTTTATAGACATAGCTGAATGAAGTCATGAGGATTGTTAATCTAAATTTCATCTAAGAATGAAAACCATTGGATTGCCATTGCTGTAACACATTGATAGATGTTGATATTTTTATATCCAATCATTTGAAATAGGCTTACTGGAGCCTGTGCACAGGGTCCTCTGTAAGCTTGAAATTCAGTTGTTGAGCTACTTCACTATAGACTCTGAACTTGAAAGCGTCTTTCCGTATGGACGCACAGTCAACGTGCGATAAATATTTGAACATCCTGCTATAGCACTTGATTTAAATTTTCCCTGTCAGAGGCTGTCACTTAAAGTTTTCCAAGATCATTTGATCAAAGTGCGCGTGTGTGTTTCTCTTTTCTTTTCTTGGCCATCTGCAGCATAGCAGAGTACCACCTGAAACGCTTCGAGTCAGCACATGCAGCCTTCACTCAGGGACACCAACTAGATGGTGAGTGCCACCCACTGTGGCCTCAAGGGCAGGTTAACCACTCCTAACCAGCCCCTTTTCCCAGCTGTACCTTGTGCTCCACTCTCCTGAATGCAGCTTTTGATTTTTGTGCTATAGCTTAAACAATATTCTGTTAGTATTTGATGTCTGTGTCATGCAGTGTGGTGGGATTCATTTAACAAGCCTTTTTTGTGTTTTGAATTTCAAAGATGGGTTAAAAGCTCCAAGACAAGGAGGCATCTTATCTTAGCGAGTCCACCATGTACTCCTCTATATACCAAAGTATTCTCGAATCAACTGTGGGGGTGTATTTATGATGGCTGAAGCTTGGCTCAAACTGGGTATTCAGGACAAAAGAACCCAAACGCAGCAGCTAATCTACAGCAGAACGTCTGAAAAAGGAAGCAAATCAAAGGTCTTGCAGTGAACCAGTCAAAGTCCAGACCCCAGTGAATAGAAGCAGTCTAAGAAAGAGGAGTGGTCTTTAATTCCTCTACAACAATGTGATTTCCCTCCAGAAAATGATTGCTTTCAGTAATCGCTCCGGTTCTACGACCAGCTGAGTCACAGGGAGTAGGGAGCTTTTCACACACTGCCTCTGCATGAGAATAAGGCAAGACGGAGCAACATGGCCTGTGCTGCTGCTCAAAGTTCCTAATGTGCAAAACGCATTTTTTCCTGAACAGAGCTGGAGTTGTGTGTGAAAAGATCAGTGCCTTTTTTTAAATTGTTAATCTGTAAATGACTCATATCATCAGAAGCAGTGTCTTTTTTACCTGGTAGCTAATATCATTTAATTTGAATGGGTTATCTATGATTCTTCTTTCTTAAATCCTTGAATCCTTGAATTAGCTCGAATATTGCCTCCTGGTATTGGAAACACCTATTCGTCTCGTTGTCTCGTTCATTTGCAAGTCTTAAAAAAAAGAACTTAAGGAAAAATCCAACATGTTTATTTGTTCTCTTTCAGATTCTGACAAGTCATTTGAGGTTTGGATCAAACGTTGTGAAGAGATGATGGATGGTAAGTTCGATCCTGACAGATGAGTTGGACTGCATTTGGCCAGCATGTGGTTTGAAATGTTTTGTTTAGCTTTTTGTATGATATTCCATGTTGGATGGTAATAAGATGTTAATATGATGTAGTAGATATATGCACATAGTACTGCTTATGGCACTTTTATTGCAAACAAGTTTGGTGCTCGCCGAGTCTGAGCTTCTGCAGCGTGCTCTGAAGCTAAATGACACAGTCAGAGAGCAGATCAGCCTATCTGATCAAACAAATGAGCGCGCGCACATCCACGGATCTGCAGCTTGCGCTCACAGTGTCGGAGGCAGAGCTGCTTAGTCCAATAAAAGATGCATGCCGCGTCTGCGTGGTGGGCTGCCGTTCGCCAGCCAGGCTCAGGCCCACCGGATTATCGCCAGTAAACAAGAGCACAAGTTTTGACAAACACGCTTCACACATACTCCCGAGAGCTGTGTGATTCATCGGAGTTAACGTTACTGATGTTTGAACGCCTCGGATGAGAACCAACCCCCTCATAAGCCTGCTCGCATTCTCTACATACGCACACACACACACACCACAAGTGTTGACAACACATATGGCACCCGGTTATTCTATCGCATGTGGCACCTACCGTGTCTCAGTATTAAAAAAAAAACAGACGCCCAACTTTTCCCTTCTCGCACAGCCCCTCGACCCCCCCCCCAAGCATTTTTTTCTCTTATTTCAAACGCGACCTCATTAAGACAACATTAACACGCCTCCTATCATCTCATCTCTCTCCGCGCTGCCTCTCTGCGTAATGAAGTCGGTGAATAATGTATGATAGCATGCTGGTAAACGCCGCTCAGGCTTGCTCGGGCTCACGGGGCTTTTAATGGGCGTGGACGGACCAGTAAACAAACCGACAGCAAGAGAGCCTGTCTGTACACGGGTGTGCGGGGGGGGCTGTCTGCGCTCCGTAGGGCTTTGCGGTAAACATGTTTTACAGGTTTCATCAAGCCAGGTAAAGGATGTAAGAATGCTTCCACCTGAACAACAGTTTTTTTGTTATTCATTATTCATTTATTTTCTTTAATTCAGTCATCTTTCTCCTCAGCAGATCAGACAGAAAACGGCGGCGTCAAAACGGTGAGTCTCCCCGCGAGGCCACTTGGGGGCATTGTTGCTCTCAGGACCAGTTCAGCCTCCATTCATTTGGAATTTTAAAAAAACTGTCCCTGCTGAGCTGCTTTTTTTTAATATCCTTTCTTCAGTCTCATTTGTGTGCTTTTTGTTTTTTTTCCATGCATTTGTTTTCTCCTCCCGTCTTCCAACCCCCTTAATCACCTTCCCATCTCGGGGGCTGACTGACCCAGAAGACACCGTCCACTCCACCTGTGAAGTAAGTGCACACACACGTGGGTGTCAGTCATTATTTTTTGTTTGGATTTGGCCCACTTTATAGACTCATAAACACATAAGGTTTTTGGAATGCATGATATTTAAAAAGCAACCAAAGCCAGGTTAGTCCAAATGAAATGAAAATGCTTTATTCACCCTGAATGGCTGTATATTCTTTATAGAAATATATGTACATTGTTGTTGTTTTTTTTTGTTTTTGCTAGCTTTTTAATGTATTGAATCTTTCTTTCAGGCACGACTGGTACCAAACAGAATCTCAAGTCATTGTCACAGTTATGGCAAAAAATGTGCCCAAGGATGGCGTGTGGGTCAGCTTCAGGGAAAAAGAGGTATAAACACACACTGGAATGCTGTGCCGGGGTGCGGATGGGCCGTGTTTTCTCTCCATATGTGTGGAACAGAGATGGGTTGGCTCACGGGTGTTTCCTCAGGGGAGCCCATTAGATGGGTCTCATACACACGTACACACCCACATACACACTCTGCGTCCCCAAGGACCCAACTATGCCTCCAGTGGTGCCTTGTTAACATTGCCCCCAAAGTACAGATCTAAGAGCAATTTACCTCCCCAGCTTCTCCAACCTCCTAATTGTCTGTAGATGGAAGGCATAACTGATCTAGGATCAGTTTCAGAGCCCTTCGGGGACAACCCCCCTTTCTTTGGCTTCTTCTGGCTCTCTTCTCCACTTGTCTCTCCCTCTCTCCGAGGGGTATCTCCAGGGCACCCCAGGGAACGGCTTTGTCTCTCCTAATAGAATAACAAACTGAGTTTACCACATTTCAAAAGAAATAGTTCACTTGCTCCAAATAACACAGTCACTTGTTAAGCTCCCTCCGCCGTGCAGAGTACAGATAAGTTCATCTTTTTTTCCCTTTTTTTTTACTAGGTCAGTATATACAAAAGAAATTAAAAGATGAAAGGCAGTGGTTCCACTTATTTTCCCTGGTGACTGAGAGTGCAGCAGCTGTGTACCTACAGACTGCAAAGAAATTCAATGAGAAATGAATAATACGGCTTTGATAGTTTTCATGCAATTGCCCGAAAGCAACTTTGGCTAACTTTCGAAGCTTAAATCCACAACAGAGAACTTCTACTATTCATTTGGTCCCAACTCAGAAGAGACTTTAAAAAAAAAAAAATTATTGATTTATTGATTTTATTTATACATTTTGTAATGTGTCAGGGTGTGGGTTGAATTTTGGTATCAGCGATATTTCTGTGAGGACCCGGGCGGGGTCTCCAGGCCACCCACAGTGCGCAGTCCCAGTGAGTGACAGGAGCTGTCTGACCCCTCGCTCATCACTGGTCACACGTCGTCTGGAGGGGACAGGGCGAGGATACTCCCGACCATCACAGCAGCCACTTCACATGAAAATCCTCATGACACATTCTGACACCTTCAGAGGCTCCTCACTCCTCCTCTTTCTTTTCCTTTTTTATGGAATTACTGGTTGTTGCGGTTCAATATAATGAAAATATAAACATTAATATCTTATTGACATTAGATTTTCTGTCATAGCTTAAAGTGTATCGCGTATTTCCTGTTTGCAAGCTTTACTGATTGTTTGCTGTCAATCCCATGAGGGCTCAGTCTCTGGTTTTTGTTTTATTGTCAGGTCTCCGCAAAGATCCAGCTGGCTTCTGGGGAGAGCTACAACTTCCAACTCCGCCTTCTGCATCCCATCAATCCCCAACAGAGCAACTTCAAGATCCTCTCCACCAAGGTAACGCTTTAAAGGGAGCTAAAGCAGCTATTGTGCGGCTAACTGGATAGAAAACTGTGTTTTTTTATTTAAACAGCCGTATATATGTCTTATCCCGGCCCACGTTTTCAACTTGAGGTGTTTTTGACATGTGTGAGAGACATTTTGCTGAGGCAGATGACACGCCTGTGAAGCAGAAGAGAACGTCTCGTATCCGAGCTGCTTGTCAGGTTTGTCACATCGTCCATTATGGATTAAAGAGTCCATTGAAGTCTGGCGACACGTCGGAACACACTCAGAGTGAAGGAGGCTGCTGGTCGCCCCGCACTCGGAAACCTGGGACTCTAGAACCAGCTCAAACTCAGCAGACAAAAAAAAAATGGAGTACTTATTCAAGCAATAACAAGAGATGTTGCTGATATTCTTTTTCCACTTCAACAGGCTCATCTCAGGCAGAGAGAAAATCCTTTTTCGCCACTTAAATGAAAAGAAAAAACTAACAGCTTCCGCTCGAATGAATGAGTTTTAAAAGTGAGTGAAACGTCCAGCAGTTCTACCCACAATCATTTCACGCCCAACAATAAAAGAGTGGGCCGTGGGATGTGTCCTGTAACACGGTTAACAGCACAGTAAAGGGAATATGACGTAATACAGTCGGTGGCGGCTTTAAGGTCAGGCTCATAACCGAGACTCCTGACCGCGATCGAGCCAATTTACTTTTCGGCTATCGGTGCGGGAGCGCTTCTCGACACTTGACACCTCTTGCTGTCACTCCGGCGCCGTGCACTCAGCTTTTGTTGTTTAAGAGATGGTCATTTATTGCTTTTCCCGCACTTTAAATCCTTTGTTTGGGGAGAAAAAAAGAGAAAGACAAAGATGAAGCAAGAGGCGAGAACGCTGGTGCGAGTTTAAGCAGCTTACTGAAATTGTGGCTGATCATTACTTGGGTTACCACTCTGAGATCAGCATCTTAATCTCGTCAGTAATTTAAGGCGGTATAAAGTGGGCTGTCACTACCTTTAATTCCTTAATGCCGCTAAAGCTCACGGTAGCGGGAGAAGAAATGAGAAAATCCTCTCTTTCTGTGTACAGCGCAGCTCCTGTGGAGACGTTAGCTTGTTTCATCTGAACAACTAACTGGAGATTGGCACATAAGCACAAATCCTCACTCCCCCTCCAAACGGGGGCACACACACACCGATATAAAGGATGTGTTTGCTGAGAGTTCCTCAACACTGGTTAAGGTGATTACTGACCTAATGAGTAGGATGGGCCCTTTTTTCCCCATTAAACTACACACTAATTAGTGCCTTTTAGAGATGTGGGGTAATGAATGGGCCGGCTTTGTGTTGTGTGCTGATTCAGGACTTAAGACCACTGTCAGCTCTCAGCCTGCAGATCAAGAGATGTTTTTTTTCTTTATATATCTGACTGTTTTTGCTTTAATCATGGAGTAGGTGAGATGTGTGTTTTTTTTTAGGGGCCTGAATCCATCTGGCCTCATTACTGCTGAACAACAGAAATCTCCGCTGGCTTCCTTTGACTCTTGTTTAAGCATTTGCGTGCGTTGGTTCACAGATAGTGTCAGAAAGAAGCTTTCTATAGAGAAACTCTGTATTATAGCCATTTCTCGTCACTTTGGTTTGGCTCAACTTGAAAGTGAGCGTTTGACCTTAAACTTTCTATTCATATTCTTATTTTTTTTTCTTTAATTTGATCTGAAACATCTGAAAATGTCAGTGGCGCCACAGCGTTTACTTAGGCGGTTTTTCAACTCCACGTGGAGATGGAGGGGAAAGTTAGTCTGAGATTTATATTAGAGACTATATTAAGACAGATGACCTTTATGGGAAACGTGGCTTATAAGCACAAACCACCTATAAAGGAAGTGACAAAAAGAGTGACTTCAGTGCTGATACGGTCAGTTTAATCATTTGTCTCAGCCGAAGACTCTCTGATTAAGGCTGGGGTTTTGTTTTTACAGGAAAGCTTCAAGTCCTCGTTGAAGTGAAAAACCTTGTTTGTCAGAAAATAATGCAGCGCTGCTCATATTTCAGTTTAATCTTTGTTGTCCATTAAAGATGAGCTTACAATGGCTTTGCTTAGCTTCAGAAGTCTTAAAAAACCAGGACGCCAATGCTTTATGCATCTTTATTATTTAATTAACTTTTTGTACACTCGGTTAACATGTCTTAAAACACCTTTTCATTGCATATTCTGGCAATATGAATACTTTTGCCCTCACAAAATGCACGTTTTTATGTTTGTTTTTTATTTTTGAACATAGAAACACAAGCTAAAGCAGGCTGGTCAAAGCTTTTCCTCACATGTAGTTTATCATCACCCCTAAAACGTACGGGTCCGGTGTGTCACCATGACAACACGAAGGGATGCCATTACTCCACGTCAACACTGCGTTTCTGGTAATCACAACTCTGAGACACTTGGGCTGGCGTACCATATTTTACCAGAGCGTGTGCGTCACCCCCAGCACGGCGGGGCAAAGAATAAGCCTCCAGCCGTCGTGATGACGGGCTAAATTCATCAGAAAGGCAGGGAGCCTGGGTTTTCACAGCCTCCATCTCAGATGTGTAGTTTTTCTGCACAGAAAATGCGAGCCGGGCCCGTTTTTGCGGCATCCTCTGCGAAACATGATATGTACGCTCAGTGCGTTGTGTTCCATTAACGCAGAAAGTAGCTGGAGCTGATTCAATCCCACGTTTTAACGCGGGATCGAATGCTGATCGGAACCTTTTCGCAAAGCGCTCAAGAGCCCGATGTTTGGAGGGTTTTTGCTGACCGGTGTAAAAAGAGCTTTTCCGGGTTTCCTCCGTGCCTGCGGGGCTTTGAAATGTTCAAGATTCACAGTCAGATAACGCTATCAAACGAGCAGAAACTAATGCAGGAGTTTGTCTAACGTGTGCATTAAGGGGAGACGCGGTGACGGCTTTCTGTTTGGCAGGTGGAAGCAAAGGAAAAGGATTTGTGACGGTTCCCAGCGAGGCCGCTGGAGGAATGACGGGTCACAGGCGCCACTTTTGTGTTCAGGAGCAAAATGCTGTGGAGCAAAGAGGTTTAGCGTCGGCCTTTTCCGTGCATCGGATCCGGCGTGGCCACTCTGTGCCGAGTGGAGGCTGACCTGCGCGGAAACGGCCCCCTCCCAAAGAAGACTTCCTCTCACTCATTTGCTCACTTTTCCATGGCAACAGCAGACACTGCATACCAGAGGTTCACGTGGGCTGCAGCTTAAACAAGTGCTCAGTCTTGGAGAGCACAGCTCCGGATGGTCTTAGATTCCCTTTGTGTGTTTGTGGTTTCCTTATCCCCCCGCCTGCGTCATATACCGTCTTTGTTTGGTCAATCTCTTGGCACCCCCCTCACCATAAACACACACCCTCCGCTCATTCTCTTTATGTTCCGTGCTCATACGAACACCTACCTCTATGATAACAAGACAGTGTTCAGGCCACCCTCCGCCTCCTCCTCCTCCTTCTCCTCTCTCACAAAGCCCTGCCTGTTCGCTGGTCCAGTGGGCTCCTCTGGCACACATGGGCCCTCCACAAACACACACGCACACACACACATGTAACACAACACAACACGGGGGATTTGCACCGTTCAGAGACTTGAAACTGCGCGACACACTCCACACAACCTGCACAGGTGTTGGTGTGCCGGCGCCTCTGACCCTGTCTCATATGAATTTTCGGGATCTGCCGACCAGAGTCCTGCCTGGGTAACGTTCCGCCCCGGTCTCTGCTCCGCCGGGTTTCCACTTCATCTCCTTGCTGTCTTTAAAGACAACTTAGCAGGGGAGAGCTAAGCTGGGCGTGTGCGCGCGTGCGCACACAAAACCAGCGCCATGAATGCGGAGGCTTGAGCAGTGATCTTTCAACACACTTGTGCTATTTAAAAGTATTTGCTCTTAAGTGTGTGTGTGTGTGTGTGTGTGTGTGTGTGTGTGTGTGTCAGCGTCGTCTGTAGCACATTATCGTCAGTGCAACCTCCTCCTGTCCTCCATCACAACAAACATTCCAACCGCAGGGGTCACCACAACAACGGGGAGCCAATTACACACCAGTGTGTTTGATCAGAACAGACGGCTGATGCACACACACACACACACACACACACACACACACACACACACACACAC